GCACAGAGTTCACGTGTTCAGACCTTTTGAAGGACCATTGCAAGGAAATGGCTGGGGAATTGGTGTTTTCCTTTGTCAGGACTGCTTTACTGTTTCTGCAGAAATTCTCTGTAGTCTTGGTATTGTTACACTGAAGGCTGGTTACTCACTTAGCCACCTCGTTCTGGAGAGCTTTTAGGACCTTTAAAATTGTGAAAGATGTGTCTAAACTCTGAAAATGTGTGAACGCCAGTGGGATGGGGGTTTGCTGCTGTCGGACAGCCACACAGAGCGCACGCATGGCTCTGCGGAGTTTTAAACCTGACTTGCAGCTAAGAGACTCTTGAGGCTGACGTTGGCTATTAGTGACGAGTCAGTTGTTGATTTTCTTCTCTAAAGGACCCAGCATTTGGAGTCAAACATGAAGCTCCTTCCTCTCCAATCTCTGGGCAATCGTGTGGAGATGATCAAAATGCTTCCCCTTCGAAACTTTCAAAGGAGGAGTTAATACAGAGCATGGACCGCGTGGATCGGGAAATTGCGAAAGTGGAACAGCAGATCCTTAAACTGAAAAAGAAACAAGTAAGTGTTTGGTTTTCTGCTTAATGTAGTTTAAGAATGTGTGTTTGTCTGCCTAAAGAAGATAATGTTGAGTTGAATTTTCCGTATTTTTCAGCTTCACAGAAAGAAATGCATGCCTGGTGTAATCTGTGACTTGCTTGTTTTTGCGGTTAGTGCCCCGAGTTCCACCCATCCGCCTCCCTTGCTGGGCCGTCTGGTTTCATGGTTGTAGACAGCAGAGCTTGTCTGTCTGTTCTTCTGCTTTTCATTTTACTGGCTGCGTTGTTTCTAGTTTCTTGCTGTTCCACACGGTGGTGCTAGGGTCTTGGTTCCCAGGCAGACAGATCCGCTCGGGCCTGGTGGGGTGCTGGGCCGGACAGCGTGCACGTGTCCGTGGGGTCAGGAGTGAGACAGAGCTTGCTTTCCTTCGTTTGTGGGTTATCTGTGTTGCTTGTGTGCCTTGCCGCTTTGTCCTTTCTTACTTCTGGCATTTCCTGCGGTCTCTCATCTGTTGTGTGTGGCACACACCTCCTAGTTTGTGGCTTGTTGTTTCCCTTTCTTGGGGAAGGATTTTTTTTTTATAATTGAGATTAAAAACCATAATATTAACCCTTTTAATGGGTACAGTTCACTGGCTTTTAATGTGTTCATAAAGTTGTGCAGCTGTCCTCACTGTGTAATTCCAGGACATTTTCATCACGTCAGAAAGAAAGCACTTACCTTGTAGCAGCTACTCTCTTTCCCTCCGCCAGCCCCTGACAACCCTGGTCTGTTCTCTGTGTGGATTTGCCTATTCTGACATTTCAGGCAAATGGAATCATAATATGTGACCTTTTGTGTGTGACCTCTTTTATTTAGCATTTGCAAGTCATCCATGCTGTGTCTCGTACTAGCACTTCGTTCCTTTTTACAGCTGAATAAAATTCCCACTGCGTGGAGATACGCTGTTTTGTTTATCTGTTCATTAGTTGATGGACATTTAGGTTGTGTTCACTCTTGGCTGTTAGGAGTAATGCCGCTGTGACATTCATGTGCTAGTTTCTGTGTGGACATGTTTTTTCAGTTCTCTTGGGTATGTGCCTAGGAGTAGAACTGGCCGACTCATATGGCAAAACTCTGTGTAAATTTATGGGGAGCCGCCAGATTGCTCTCCAAAGTGGCTGTGTCATTTAAACTCCCCCCCCAGCAGTGTATGAGGCTGGGTTTCACTTTCTCTACTTCCTTGTCAGCATTTTTGTGCGTAGCCATCCTGGGAAATGTGAAGTGGTATCTCATTGTGTTTTTTAAAAATTTATTTATGTATGTATTTGATAATATATTTTTAAAATTGAACTGTATTTGATGTGCAGTGTTATGTCACAGGTGTGCGGTATAGCAATTCACAGATTTCCAAGGCTGCACTCAGTTTACAGTTACTACAGAGGACTGGCTGTGCTCCCCATGCTGTGCAGGGCCTCCTTGCAGCTTACTTGTGTGCCTGATAGATTGTATCTCTTTGGCTGTGGTTTTGATTTTTATTTCCCTAGAGTCTGGTGATGAACACCTTCCTGTGCTTGTTGGCTGTTTGCATTTATTCTGTAGGGGAAGGCTGGTTCAGATCCTTTGCCCGTGTCTTGTAGCTGGGCTGTCAGACTTGGTGGTGTGTCCTGTGTGCTCACATACATGCCGTACAGGTGTCCTCTCTGATTCTCTGCGTTGTCTTTTCTCTTTCTTAGTGGTATCCGTGGATGACGAAAGCTTTTTTCTCTCTTATTTTATTCCTTCAAATATTTATTGAGCAACTAGGGAGATACAAGAGTGATTAAAAACATGGTCAAAGAAGTACGAAGTAAGTCAGATGAGTCAAGTAGTAGAAAGCAAAGTATGAGGTTCACTGAATCAGAGCCGTCAAGGAAGGAGCTTGAGGAAGTCTGGAGTGAGGCTGCTCCCGGCCTGGCGGGGGGCCTGGGTGGGGGGCCGGTGTGGAAGGCGACGGGGAGGAGACAGAGGCCTTGCTGGGACTGTGATGACGCGCTTGGGCTCCGGTTGTCCCTCCGTCTCCTCTCTCCCCGTGTGGATGCACCACGACTGTTCATTGTGCTTTTTCCTAGACTTGCTGCGTTTTTACTTTAACGTCTTCTACGGAACTAGGTCCTTTTGGTGTCTTAGGAGTTTTTTCCCCCTGTTCTTCTGAAGGCTTCTTGACTTTTTTGATGTTGGTGTTTGGTGGTTTTGAGTCTTTTCTAATCTGGTTTGATTTTGTGCCTTCTTGGCTGGAGCATCTCCTCAGGGTTTCTTTCCTGGAGCCTTGTCTCCACATTCCTCCTCCTCATCTTCATTGGACAGTTTTGCTTGTCTTCTGGGAACCTTCCAGTGCAGTTCACTTTCCAGGTAGACGTGGGAGTTTCCCACCCTCCTCCTCGTCCTCTCCTTTCTCTGCTCTTCCTCCACCGCGCTGTCCACGGCTCCGCGCAGGCCCCTTCCAACCACAGGTGCTGTTTCCCAGCCGCCGGGGACGCCGTCCGGGTGTTCCCAGCGCGTGCGCCCCCGCCCAGCCCCGCACCGGCGTTCTTACGGAGACCTGCTCAGTCTCATCTCTGTCAGCTTTAAATGAGCGTCTTCGTTGGTCTTTAGTTGACAATTCAGAGGTGGTTCTGGGGCCTCAGGGGCCGGCTCTTAGGTGGGGAGAAGGGGACAGAGATACGGGACTGCCGTCCTAAGGGCCGCCCAGCGGGCCAGTCACGCCACGGCCAACAGGCTTTACTTGTGATGAAGTCCAGTTCATTTTTTCTTTCATTCTTTGTGCTTTTGGTATCACACCCGAGAACCATGATCCAGGGCCACAAAGACTTACATCTGTGTGTTCTTCTCCAAGATTTATAGCTTTAGCTTTTACATTTAAGTCTGTGTTTTTTGGTGAACAGAATTTCTTCAGCTTTTATGTGAGATTACTCTGGGATCATTAAAAGAGTTTACTGTACTGTCTTTTTTAAAAGTTTTATACTTTTGCTTCTCACATTATTCTTAATCCACCAGAAACTGATTTTTTGTGTTTGCCTCAGTGTAGGGGTCCATATTCATTTTTAGCCTGTATGGATACTTAATTGAAAAGTTTGTCCTTTTCCAAACTGTTCTGCAGTTTTAGCGCTGTTGTAAGTCAGATTTGCATCTCTGTGTGGATTGACTTCGGGGCTTTGTGTTCTTATTTATTGTGCTCTGTGGTATTGATACAGAAATAGGTATCCTTCCAATTACTGGAGCTATGTGATAATTCTTTTTTCTACCGCAGTGAGGCAAACCCCACTTCTGTGGGCGTATATTAGCTTTTTAAAATTCTTACCGTCTCATATGATTTTTGGAATCACATTTTCAGTTCCCCAAAGTATCTTTCTGGAATTTTCATTGGAATCACATAGAATATAGAGGTCAGTTTGGGGATGGTGATATCTTTATGTTACCAAGTCTTCTAACCCATGACTATGATGTATCTGTTCATTTACTTAGGAAAACTTTCATGTTTTATTGCTTTCTCTCCCATAAATATATTCAAAAACTTTTTTTTAAATTGAAGTACAGTCAGTTACAATGTGTGAATTCATGTGTGCAGCGCCATGTCCCCATCATGCATATACATACAAACATTTGTTTTCATAAATACTTTACTAACACTTTGTGTTAGATTCAACTTTTTATATTTTTGATTCTTGTTAATAATTTCTTTTTAAAAATCACTTTTTTCTAACTTGCAGTTTTTTGTTTTTGTTTTTGTTGTTCTTAGTGTGGAGCAGCAACCTCCCTGCATTACCCTTTCAGTGCCAGTTACTTGTAGTTTCTTCTGGGTAGTGGTCAGATCAGCAGTTTTAAAAAAAAACTTGTTCCTTCCTTTCTGGTTCTTAAACCTTTTCCTTACTTTTCTGTTGCCTCATTGCTCTGGTTAAGACTGCATTACAGGGGAGAGGGTATAGCTCAAGTGGTAGAGTTGTGTGCTTGGCATTCATGAGGTCCTGGGTTCAATCCCCAGTACCTCCTCTAAAAATAAGTAATAAACCTAATTACACCCCCCTTAAAAAAGGCTCAAACAAGTGCGCGTGCGCCCACACCCACACACGACTGCATTACAACATTGAAAGTGGTTGTTCTTGTCATTTTCTGCTTTTTTAGGAATGCCTTTTACTTTTTACCACTGATTATGATGTCAGTTTTGTAGAAATCCTTCCCCAGGCGGCGGCACTCCTGTCTGGTCCAGTGAGCTGGGAGTTTTAATCACGGCGGATGTTCATCAAATGCCTTTTCTGCATAAGGTTGCTGATCATATTATTCTCCTTTAATGTAGTAACAGAATGATTACCTATTTTTTATAAATTGCTAGACTTGCTTTAACGATATTTATTTTGGGGTTTTTGTGTCTTATTTGTGAGACAGATCAGCCTGTAGTTTCTTTTCTTACACTGTTCTTCTCTGGTTTGGTCACAGATCATGCTAATGTTATAACATTTCTAAACTCTGAGATGGTTTAAGATTGTAATTATTTGGTAAAATCAAGCTGGGCCTATTGGGTATTTTTTGTGAGTGAACATTTTTAAAATGAGTGACTGTACTTTAAAAAATTCTATTTCTTCTGGAGATAGTTTCCCCCCTTATTCTGGGGACTAATTGTTTCTTCTGTATCACAAGTTTCTGCTCGTTTCTTCTCTTTGGTTTTGTTCTGCTCTTTTGTAACTTATTTAACATTAATATTTTGGCTTCTCTTTCTCTCTGTGCACTACTTTAAGTTCATTCAGCAAGTTTAGTTTGTAATATGTTTTACTCTCCATTCTGGTTTCTTTCTCGACTCCTGTGTTAGTAGAAATGTTTTTTTTTTAATTTCTGGGTATATAATTTTTTCTCGACTATTTCTGCTTATTTGATTTCTAACTTTATTGTGGCCAGAGAGTATGGGCTCTAATACCCATTCTTTTGAAATAGCTGGTTCTTGAGTTTTGGCCTAGATGACGGGGTCAATTTTCATAAAACACTCCAGTCACACTTGAGAAGAAGATTATATGTATTCTTTACTTCAAAAAATCATGCATGTCTTCTCTCATTTTTGCCAGTAGCTTAACAATTACTGCTATGATTTTGGATTTGTTTCTTTTTCTTAGTAGTTCTCAATTAAAAATATATGTATAGTTGACATAAAACATTTCATTGGCTTCAAGTGCAAAGCATAATTAATGATTTGGCATTTGTATATATTGCAGAATGACCAGCACAGAGAAGCTAGTTAACGCTGATCGCCACACATAGTCACAGGGTTTATTTTTCTGGTGATGAGAACTTTTAAGACCTACTCTTAGCAGTTTTCCGATACGCAGAACAGTGTTTTTAATTACCGTCACCATGCTGCCAGGACTTGTTTATTTTATAACTGGGAGTCTGTACCTTTTGACTCCGTCTACCCCGCCCCTGCCCTGCGACCACGAGTCTGTGCTCTGTCTCTGTGAGCTGTGTGCCTGCCTGCCTGCCTGCCTCACTTTCTCTCTCTCTCTCTCTCTTTCTGATTGATTTCACTTGAAATAATGCCCTCAGGGTGCGTCCATGTCTTTGGAAATGACTAGATCTCATTCTTTCTCATGGCTGAGTACCATTCCGTTGTGTGTATGTACTACATTTTCTCTGGCCGTTTATCTGTTGATGGCACTTAGGTAATGTCCATGTCTTGGTTGTTGTAAATAATGCTGCGTGGGGCCCGCCCAGCGCCAGTGTACACGTGGTGGAGAGAGCTCCCCAGAGTGACTGCAGCCACTGTCTGTGTCCCCAGGGTGAGCTGTGGCCACCCTCCACCTCCGACTCTCCATGACCAGTGGGTTCATGTTAATGCAGAAGTGTGGGCCCCTGATTTTATTGATGCTTCTCTCCATCTCTTCTGCTGTAAAAGGGAAACCAAGCACAGAATACGCCCCAGGAAAATGGGCCCAAGCCTAAATTCAGATGCATGCTAGGATTCCCCGATTTCTGCCTTCAACCCAGCTCTTGAAGAAATTTATCTGGTGACAGATGTGAGGTTTCTCCATAGAATAGACTCAGGATTGGTGATATGTTTGCAAGGAAGAGCTGGGGCTAAATTGTCTTGAAACTTCATCTGCCTAGAACTATGCTTATTTGGAGTGAGCTACCAGATCTGCCAGTGAACTCGCTCCCCTGGGAAGCCTGCTGTTTGGAACGTCTTCAAGAAGTCCTGCTCTTAGATAGAAGTCTGGAACTGTGGTGAATCCTGTACGTGAAGGCTCTGAGCTAGGTTCTGACAGTGTGGACGGCAGCCTCCCAGTTACTAACCTATTTCTCGTCTCGACTGGTGTTGCTTCAGCTCTTGTAGAGTCCTCGGATTGCTCCTGATGGCTGGGAGGAAGTCAGGTTGTGGAGCGAGCCTGGAGCTCCGAGTCCCGGCACCCCCAAACCCTGTTACCCTCCCTTCCATTTCCCATTTGGGTCCCATTTTAATGATGACCTCTCCTCCCCAAAAAAGATGCAGTGAGCATGGGGGGTGCATATATCTTTCTGAGTTTGTGTTTTTGTTTTCTTCCGAGAAATATTCAGAAGTGGAATTGTTGGATCATATGGGAGTTCTGTTTCAAATTTTCTGAGGACCCTCCATACTGTCCCCACAGTGGCTGCACCAGTTTGTGTCCCACCCACAGTGCCCAGGTGTCCCTTTTCTCCACGTCCTCAGCAGCACCTGGCTTAGCGGGAAGTCCGCTTTGCCCGACACTGATGAGTTAGGCCAGCGGCCTTCTAATTGCTGTCGGTTAGTTTACCTCTTTCCTTGCCTTTACCTTCTGTGTGTATATTTAAGGTGTGTCTCTTACATAGCAGTACAGCTGGGTTTTGTTTTTATCCAGTCTGGCAAACTATCTTTCCACAGGATAATTTAGTCTTTTCATCTGATGATGATGGTTGGAAATAGCTCAGTTATTTTAATTTTAAACGGTTTTATTTTATACTTTCTATTTGTCCTGTCTTTTTTATGCTGATTTTGATATTCTTGTTTGTTTTTCCCAATCCTTATTTTGGATTGATTATTTGTCATCTCCTGTCCCACTAGTTTGGATTTTATACAGTATTTCTTTGTTTATAGTGATTCCCCAGAAATTTTAACAGCCTGTTTAACTTGAAGCCTAAAACTAATTAGTACCTTAACCGTCTCCTTCAGTAGCGTGAGGGCATCGAACTCCTTGATTTCTTTCTCTTCCCCGCCAAATTTAATGCTGCTGTTGTCTTGTATTTTGGTTCTTTCTTGTGTGTGTGTGTGTGTGTGTGTGTGTGTATGTGTGTTTCAACTGCCAAAGACGCTGTTTTCTGTGGTCAGGCTTCACTTAGGTTTAACCCCGTCTGTGTCGTGGGATTTGCCACCACTCCTGCTGCCTCACAGATCTTCCATCTGGGGGAACGTGCCTCTTCCTGGAGACCATCCTTCAGAGCTCCCTTCAGTGAGGCTCTGTTAGATGGGTTTTATGTTTGTTTTTAGATGTCATCTTTTATTTATGCCGCTTACTGAACGGCGTTTTGTCTGGAATGGAGGGGTTTTCTCGGTGTCCCCAGCGTGCTGTCTGCTGGCTGACGCCGCGGCCCTTCCGTCATCGTGTCCTTTCTTGGAGGGTCTACGTCTTCTCTCGGGCTGTTCTCAGTGTCTCCCTCAGGGTGCTGCTGTTTTGACTGTGATGTGTTTAGGGCTGGGGTTTGTTTTGCTTGCTGGTTTTACGTCTGTCCAGGTGGAGGTTCATTGGGCTTCCTGAATGTCTTAGAGGTTTTCATCAGTTCTGGAAAATTCTAAGCTATTATCTTGTTTTACAAAACCCTTTCCAACAGTTTCTCTGTTGTCCCTTCTGAAATTCCTGTTGGGTATGTTTTATCATTCTTGTTTTCTCTGTCTCTCAGTTGCTTTTCTTTTCCTTTTCCTTTTTTTGGTTTTTGCTTCTTTGGGCTCCATTGTGGGCAGTTTCTTCATTTCTGTCAAATCTGTTGTCAAATATATTTTAAATTCGATAATTACATTTTTATTGCTGGAATTTCTGTTTGGCTTATTTTAAAATCTGTTTTGTCATTTAAAAATATTCCCCTCTCACCTTTTTAAAAAAATACGGTGAGCCCTCTCTTATTTATTGAGTCACGTTAAATTTATAGTAACATGCCTGGCAGTTCTTCTGAGCCTCAGTGGGCCTGATTCTGCCGAGTTGGTCTTTTGCTTTTCTTCCATGTCCTCATGTATGCAATAGTAACAGTGCTACTGGTGACACCAGGTGAATCATGGGGTTGTGTAAGTTGAGATAATGAATATATTATATAATATGTGGCACATAGTAATTTTAACCCATTAAAATAATTTAAAAATAATGAAATATATTGTGTGGACATTATGAAGTATACAGAAGCTGTAAATTTTGTTGGGGAATGTAAAGACAGCTTGAGTAAGTAAAGAAGTATAGCTGAGCAGAAACACAGTATTAGTCATGTGCACGCATCTTATGTTAATTCATATGTTTTATACAATTTCAGTATAAATTCCAGCTAAATTTACTTTTAAAGTTTGCCAAAATTATTGTGAAGCTAGTAGAACAGATAGGTGAAGGAAGTTTGTATTTGTTGTTTTTTGGTCTTAGCCTTTCTGTTATAGTGGTTTTGTCCCAGGGCTATGTACCTGCTGAGAACACAACGTGATTTCCTGAAGCTTATTCATTTCTTTCTCTGCGCCTGTGTGACAGGGATTCTAAAGGAAGGCCGTCTGAGCCGGGGACAGAGGGGCACGGTCGAAGAGCTCATTCCCATAAAGATGACCTCACAGCTCGAGCGTCTGTCCGTGGCTTGTACGGGTAGCAGGCTGCCGGAGCCCTTTCTGTTCCGAGTGGATGTGGTCCTCGGAGCTGCTTTCTTGGAGGATTTTGATCCTTTCACTTGGGTGTGGTCTGACTTACGTGACTAGGAGCCTGGACTATCTTACTTGGGACTACAGATAATTTTTTCCACCGGGCCTTTGGTGGACTTCCGTCTTTACCTGATAATGTCTTTCTTACCATCTAAGGCAGTGAATTTACACTGTGTCCATGTAGCTGTCTATTGAGCGTTACTCAGTATCAAGCACTAGCTAGTGGCTGGAAGAACACTGAACTAAGCGAAGTCCCCGCTTGCTTCAGTAGTAACTGCAGGTGGTGTGTACTGAGCGCCCATGGTGGCAGCGTGCCTGACGCTGCTGGGTCACTTAATCCTCTCAGAGGGCTGTGTGGTGGGGGGACTAGTATCCCTGCTTGACATAGGAGGGGTTCATATCCTTGCTCGAGGCTGGGGTAAGGGCTAGAAAGGCTCCCCGGATCCCACCGCTTGCGAAGCACGACCCTAAGGCTAAAACCCAGGCCCAGGGATCAGATGGCTTTCTGCTTTGTGACTGCCCACACCAGCGGCCCACAGTCTCTGGGCTTTGCCAGTGCCTTTTGGCTATAAAATCCAGGTTTTGGTGGGGGCCTGGGGTGGAGCTCGGAGCTGTGCTGAGTTAAGGAGTAACGTACCCCAGAGTCCCCCCACCAGACACTAACGCATGTTGTCCATCTGTAACACACAAAGGTGTTTTCCCAGTGCCACAGGACGGCCTTGCGATAGAGATCCATGCTGTACATCATATGTTTAGTTTTTCTTATTTCTTTTGCTTTAAATTGATCAGAGTTAAAATACACAAGGATTTATCAAATGGTGACTTATGTTGTCTAGTTATTAGTCAGAATCAATCCGATTGGGTTCCTTAGCACCCTTGCCCATTAGATTCTGGTAGATTAAATGATGACCCTGTAGAACCAGCGCAGCTTTGCTCAGAGGCGTGTGTTATCTCTGGTGGTTAATTCCTGGTGGGGGTGACAGCAGCAGACACCTGACTCCTCCTTTCTGGATCTCTTAGCAACAGCTTGAAGAAGAAGCCGCTAAACCTCCAGAGCCCGAGAAGCCCGTGTCCCCGCCTCCCGTGGAGCAGAAACACCGCAGCATTGTCCAGATTATTTACGATGAGAACCGGGTAAGTCCACGCCTTCCTTGACGGTGCAGGCCTTTGCAGCCACTCGTCTGTGCCTCAGTCATCTGTGTGCTCTGGGGTTGTGTTAACTGTGTTAGAGCCCGGTTTCTGTTGTAATTTTTTCATGTTCTTAAACTTAGACTGACTGAAGCGTGGTGTCTCTGTGGATTGAGG